CAATAGTATGTATGGTTGATGAGAGCCAACGTGTCGTAGATTCGATTTGTTTCTTCAACAAAAAGATTTAGTCTAAAAAAAAAAAAAAAAGGGGGGGGAAGGGGGGGGGTTTTTTTTTTTTTTTGGGGGGGTTTTGGGGTTTTTTTTTAGGAAAAAACCCTGGAAAATTTTATTATTTTTTTTATTTTAGAAATTTTTCCCGCCGCGGGCGGGTTTAGACCGCCCCCCCGGGGTTAGGGTCCCACACACACACACACCCATATTTTCTGTAAACTAACCTTACACTTGTCATAGAAAAAAATGGTAAAATATATTACTGTACGTTAGTAGTATTTGGAGTTCAGGCGATATAACTTTATGAAATCTGCCATAACTAGGGAAAACGTCGGTCTTTGAAGTTCATTCCTTATTTCCTGCACTTTGAATCGAAGTCATCTTTGGGCGGCAAAAAGTTGTCCCAACTTTACAATTTCAATATCCGCTCTGGACGCCAGCTCTCATTTCCGTCTTGATTCGTCAATTAGATTGTGGAATTATGTTATCAGTCTGCCCTGGCGTAATTAACCTTCAGATCGTTAAATTAACAGTTTGACATTATTTATTTATGATGGAAGAGAACAAAAATGCGCTATCGACCTATTTTTCCTTTGGATATTGGGAAACACAGAAACCGAAACGCGATTAAACTTCACGGCTTTTTATCTATGGGTGGTGGTCCATAACATATATGTTATAATTTAATTTAATGAAAAACTATAAATCTTTTAGAATCCACGACCACGACCACGACTTGATTAGCCATATGAGCTCGTTGGCGTAATGATAGCGACTTTCATTACGCCAACGAGCTCATCAAAGAAACATTAAAAAAAATTGTGTGTGTAATTATTTTGATCGCGACTCGTGTATCGCTCGATACAAGTGTCTGCCGAAAAGTTATCGGTATGAAACTCTGTTTTGCCTGTGGCTTGGGGCAGACAATACTGTATTAATTTTTGATTTATCAATTATTAAAAGCAAATTTACTAGGCAGACAAACATCTTTGGCTTACCCATCCGTTCAAAAGGGAACCCAGGTCTCGCGCCTCAGGCATTTACTACGCAGTTAAGCGCTCGGTCAATTTGAATCATAGTTAATTGTAAATCACTTCGAAAAGCGAATTTCGATTCACCGTGCGGTAACCGACATATTGGGAGTTGCTATGGAAACCCATTACCCACGGGTTTCTGATTAATTTCCATCATAGCAACGGCAACTTTTGTTCGCTATAACGTTTGAAGATTTGCCCTCACACAATTATGTGCACATACATTACTACTACACCACAAAATGCCAACAATTCTTATTAGATAAAGATTTTAAGTTGTGTTAGATGACAGAAGAGCTTGGGGATCACTTATGGAAGGTGAAATACTCCACCTATATAACATCCACACATGTTAAGCCGTCGACGTATTTTGGCTATGTATATTCAGAAATCCACAGAAACCCAAAACGCGATTGCCTTTTCATCTAAGGACGATGGTTCATCACCTGGACGGAATTGCGATATTCCCACCCATTGAATATCCAGATTTCCAGACCTAGTCAGACATGTTTCAGAAATATTATACATTGATTTGAAAAATATTGGACCCGGTGGAGATCAAACCCCCGACCCTTAGCTATACATTGCTACGACTACACAAGCCTGTCAGTCTCAGTTAGTAATAGATATTTTCCTTTATTATTCATAACGTACACAGAATTTGTTGCGATCGCAAAAATTAAAAAGAGAATGGCAACCGTGAGAAAATACGCACTTATACCCTTACTTGAATATTGTATGAAGTTTATAACAAGTAACTTACTTTGGGGTGTGTTGGAAAGGGTTAAAACTTTTTCTTTGGCCCTCGATGGAAAGAGATATGACATCTTTGACATCGCTTTAATATTAAACGTTCTATTAATATTCAAAGACGCAAGAAAAGTCTAGCGGAAATTATGATTTCATTTTTTTAACATAAATATTAGGTTTAAATAAAACACTAATGGTTTAAAACGCGATGTAAATTAGTAAAACTTATTTGGGAAATTATTTTAACTACGGCCCAACATTTAAGATGCTTTGCCGCCGTGGTCACGGAAGTCTCCTGATTGTGTTCTGTTCTGTTTAGTTAGTACGAGTATTTGTCCATAGTAAAAATAATTTCCAAACAAGTTTAGCTCATATACATCGCGTTTTAAACCGTTTAAGTGTTTTATTCAAATGTGTACTGCTCGCGTAAACTACAGATAGTATCCACATAATGTGTTTTTACGTATTTTTTAACAAAAAAAATCTCTGTTTTATTGCAAGAAACATGAAACACTATGGTATAGTGTTTCATGATATGCTTCAAGGTCCATAATCAAAGTTCAAAGTTCTAGTAGATTCAAGATAATTTTCTATTCAAATTGACGATAGTTCTTGACGGTCAAAGTACATTAGATTTAATCTGTGTGAACCAATCGAGTTCGATCGAATCTTCAAAGCTTATCGCTGTCGGCCGATGAGCGAATATCGTTAGGGCATATGTAAACGGCGCTTCGGTAGCTTTGACAAACGCTACAGACATTTTTATATATCACGGATCACCGAACATGCATCGCTGTTCTAGTACAAAGTGTCAAATGCCGTGGAAATAGATTCAATTTTATTAATATTCTATGAATATAGTTTATATAGGTAGAAAAATCTGACTATAAGATTTTTTTTGGCTTTTATTTTAATTATGTTTTAGCTATATTTGTGTAATACCGAAATAAAAATGTTTATGTGTTCAATTATAATTCTTGCTGGGTAGCACTTTGAAAGCGAGTTTTAGACGATAGGTTCAAAATATTTATATAATATGTGCAGTGCCAAACGGCTCGTCGCCATATTTTCACGGATCGGGGACTATGTGGGTCAAAGCAATTCCGATACGAGTGCTTGACACCGTCCTGCGTTCTGACTTTGCAGGCAAATGACATTTGCGAACGCACCGATACACTTGAGGTCACGATATATATTATGATAGTTTGTATGGGAAAAATGACAGATTTAGAAGAATTTGTGACGAGCGTTCGGGTCAAGAATGTAGTACTACTACTAAAAATGCTCATTGTGATTTAATCTTAAAGGACAGAAGAAGAATTATCCTTTTATACATATTTTTGAGTATCTAGAACCGTTTATGCAGCGCACGCAAACGAATCTCTCTAAGTTGAATAATTTCCCCCTTTTTTCCACATTCCCCACGGCCCTCCTATTGGTCGCAGCATTATGTTTTATAGCCTATAACATTCTTATTAATTGTTTCTACCAACACAAAAACAATTCTTCAATTCGATCTAACTTTAGTTCTTTAGATAAGTTTAAATAAACAAATTATTCTACTTTATAATGTTAGTATAGATAATAACGAGCAGATATTTATATTGGAAGACTTTCAGTTTAAAAAATAAAAATTTGTACTCTTTGTTGTATATAAAATGTTATTTGTTTTTAGAACGATGTACAAAATCACTAATAGACAAAACTACAAACTACTATAAATATATACGATCTCATTATAATATTAATATCTTAAATCAAATATACCAGCATTATTCGTACTCAGAAATCGTATTATGTCAATATAATAAGTTGAAGTCTCAAATGTAATAAAGATTTATTCTATAACCGTCGAAGCCTGGCACGGTGGCGTATTTACATATGAGATTCTAAGGATTTCATTGCCTAAGGGCCCTGAATTTTAAGGCTTCCGCCGAGGGTCGTTCTGGTAATCCCAATGTTTATTTGCAATATTTCCATATATATATCTATAGTTAAGATCATTTGATTAATAGGAACACTGAGAATCGAATTTTAAAATTCACCAAGGAAATGGTTATAAGTACAGCCTACATTGCATTAAGCACGGACATTTGTTCGAATCCCGGAAAAATAATAAAGTGTGCGGTCAGGCAGGGTTAAATAGTGATCTTATCTGCGAATAGAATCAAATAATGATGTTTGAAAACGTTATTTTTTTTTAACTTAACATGTTTTTGCACATGAAGGCACTATTACATATAATTTAAAAATCGAAAATAAATTAAAATAATTATGAGAGCAACAGCACGGAACGCTGACGATGCCGGTTCAAGTCCTGCCTGAGTCGAAGTTTTTTTCAATTTATTTTCGATTTTTAAATAAAATAATCATACTGAATGTAACTATTCGCTTTTCAGTCTGTTTATAATTTTCTTTTTAAATGTGTACTCGTAGACTACACACCGAACGTAAGTTACTTATGTGGCAACAAACAAATTGTAGATTCACACGCAGGACATTTAATCTAAGTCTATCTCCGTGCCTGTAACTGAAATCAAGATAGGTACCCAATGCTTATAATATTTCAGAGATTACCCACACAGACGCGAAGTTATACGCCCTAGGGATTACCCTATCGATTCGACTGGTTTCATCTAGGCTCTAACTCTAGAAACCCGTTTTAGTTGGATTACTAAGTACTATATTCTTATCCTCAAGTCATATTTACAATACAACTTGCAAAATTACTAGTGAGTCTGTTAGTTGAAAAAATAATAACCGGTTTTTACTGGTACATAAATTTTATATATACAAATAGTTAGAGCAAGAGAGGTGCATGACACGGTAACTCAATTGGTTTGAGCAACAGCCTGAAATGTTGTTAACGCTGGTTCAAGTCCTGCCCGTGTCGTAAAATTTTCAATTTATAATCAATTCTTAATTGATATATCCAAGGTAAAAAATACAAATATACGAGTCGTCTGACAATATATTGAATCCTGGACGTCTTGCCAATAAATGCAAATAATTTTACTACCGAGCTACAAAAGCGATGTTCAGACGCATTGATTGCTCGAATTAGCTTCAGTAGAAATAATGCTATCTTATAAAAGTAATTCGGTATACTTGGTGACGTCAAAGTTCTTGAACTTACTCATAAATTATAATATACAATTTCAGATGAGGTGGACGTGATTGGCTACACGTCGAACCAGAGTGACAGCGAGTCGCTAGTCAGCGGTCACAGTGGTGACAGCGGCGTTGGCGTGGGCGTGGGCGTTACACGCAGGCGACGCTGTACGAAGCCCGCAAGGTCCCGCTACACGCGAGTCTAGGTGAGTATAGGTCTTACCACTTAATAGAATAGAATAGAACAAAAACCGAATAACCAAGAAAAGAAAGTACTTAAATTGGGTTAAGTACAAAGTTCTACATTTCGTATGTATTCATTAATGTATTTTCTTATATGTATATATTCTTTTATTTTTAATTCTGTATGTATATTTTTTTGTTTGGATTAAATTATTTGAATTTAAATTTAAAATGAATAATTTTTTAAATTACTGAACCCGAGATATAACCCCTTAGATTACTATCAGAAGTCTGTTGCATATAATACTAGACTTGCACAGCAAAGTCACACATAGAGGCCAATCAAATGAATTAGATTGATTAATTGTATATGTAACTTTTTCAGGTGAGCGGTGCGCGGCGCGTGCGCGCGGCGACCACATTCGTTGCCGCGTGTGACTCCGTAACGTAAATAAAAGAAAAGTAGGACATTTTGTTGATTCATGTACTGGGACGACTGTTGTTCGTGACTGAGTGGGGAGCCCGTCCCGTGACACAGTGACTTGCCGGAGTGACCTGCGCCCGCGCCGCGACCACGTGCGACCACGTCGCGCGACCGATAACACGACACCGCTAACCATTACCGAGTACAAAATTGCCAAAAAGTTTCTTTCGTTTCTCTCTTGTGTTTTGGATTGAATGTTTAAATTATTTCGTCATCACCCGCTTTCTTACATAAGATCATCACAACGGGGTGCCGATGTCTAAATGCCCCGGTTTTCAACTTAATACATATTATTTTTCTTTTGTTATACGCTTTTTTTTCTTCATTTTATACAAGTCAATATAAAAAGTAAAATTTTTAGGTACTTATTGTTACTGGTTTTACGATGTAAGAGATGTCGCTACTGGTTCTAGTAGCGAATGTTGTATAGATAAATATCAATATTATATTTTTTGTATATAATTATTTTTCCTTGTATAATTTAATCAAATAGAATTAGATCTGTAAAAGCGAAGCGTAAACCGGCCACAAAATAAAGGTCTATGGTTCATTATTACGACATCACAAAAAGTGATTTTAACATTCTTTTGTAACTGTTATGGAATGTACGGCTTTTATCATAATGAATAACCGTTGTTTTTGAACCTTGAACGTGTCAAAAACCTATCTGTGCTAATTTCAAGTTTATATCTATATATTCTTACCTATTTTGATTCCTGTCTGAAGCAGCACAAATACAATGAAATGACACGTTTGTAATGAAAAATAAACTAAATCCTATTTTTAAGTATTAAATATTGATTTATTAATGATCTCACTTCATTGTCATGAAACTGTACTGGTAATGTGTCATTATTTTAATGAATTTTAAAGTTTAGTATAATGCATAAGACTTAGTATTTATTTAGACAGAATTAATATTTACAAGCTCCAGGCATTCTAAATTAATATAGTCTGTACAGAAAAATGACATTATTACTAGGCGGATTTCGATTTATATGGACACTCTCGTACCAAAAAAGAAATATTTTATGAACACTCGACAATACAATCATGTTGATACAAACAAATACTAGCTGAAGTTAGAGTACACAATATATTTTTGTTATTACTATTATATCTTATAATTAATAAATTGTTAATTCATTTTACTACGTACGAATGATATCTTTTAATTTTTCGACATGGCAACAAATCTCATCATTACTTCGAATCCAAATATCGATTCATTCATATTGTAAATTGTTTTAAGTATGGATGTTATGATAAGTGTAGTTGTAATCATTTGTAATTATGTTTGTTTTAGAAATGACAGCCTGATCTCTTAAGGTTATAACTAAAATCCGTTGCGGCCGAGCCGATTAAATCTGTCGGGCGCCATTCGCACTAAAACGAACCGCGCTTTATTTCTGCCAAAATTGACATTGACAACTCATTAGCCTATTCAAAACGATGTCTAGTGATCGCCGATCATCGCACATCAATTACTCGTCAACACCTCGACTCAATCGCCAACAATGTTTATTGTCATCGTGTAAGATCTAGTCCTAAACAAAGTCAATTTTGGTAAATCGATCTTGGAACCGCGGCAGTTTAAGCCCGATGCCTGTAAGCTTTCATAATTGCGAGCGCCGACTTCCGTGTTGAACGAAAGCAAAGAATATTTTTAATAGACGGCCAGTATAATCACGTCGGTCCGTCAACATCGGAGTCGCCTCTCGGCACGTTGCGTCTGTCGAGTCCTGTCTCAATCGTAAAAATACTATGTATATTCCTAAATGTTTTAATATATTATCACAAAATTATTTAATTTATTTTATTATTTCGATTATTATTTATATCGAGTACCAGTGTTTTGCTTCGACACGCCTGCTCGATCGATTCCTCACGACCGCTTTGAATCATCGCTCAAGTTTCATTCGCAAGTGTAATGGGTAAATGCGGCGACGGGACGCTACAAGAGTACAAATTCTGTATAAGCCCCTACTTGAGTGTTAATTGTAAATGTTTAATTTTAAACTCGAAACAGGGAGAAGTACCGTCATACGCGTTGAGCGCGGGCGACAGTTGTAGCCTACGTCCAGTCAGATCTGCCTTCGGTGTTGTCTCTTCCTTAACTAAATCGTGTCTGTATCCTATTGCTACAGTGAATTTAATTTGCGATATCTTCCGACTGTCCTCTCTTCGTAGTGTTGCGCGTGGAGCGCCATATATTAAACAGGTGTATCACTGTAACGATAGGGTATTAGAAAAGGCCGCGCACTATAAGCGCGCGCTACTCATTAGATAAGAAATGTGTTATTAGAAAAAATTGCAATAAATTCTCGTCCGACGCCTCTCGCCGCTTCTCGACTGTTTACCCAACTTAGTCGCTGTATTATAAAATTTAGTCCGGCGTAAAAAAATATCAGTGTGTAAATATTTGGAGCCAAAATTTTTATACAAATTATTTCATAAATATATTCTTGGACCAAGTTGATGGTGGAGCGGCGAGGGTTTTCGTGGGGCTGACTGCGACGACGCGCCGTCTCGGGTCACTCGCTGCTTCTCAGCCGTTTAGATAAGACGCTGGCAACATGTAATGTGTCAGTAAATATAATGGGTTTTGGTGACGAGTGAACCGAGGTGTGTTGCTATCAAATCGATCAGCCCGGCGCGCGCAGTCTCGTTGTCTGATCGTAGAGGCAAACATTAGGTACTATTGTGACTATTGCTGATGTTACATGGCAGCATTATTCAATGTAATTGACGAAAAGTGGCACATATAATTTACTATATGTAAAAAGTTATAGAATTAATTTAATAAAATTATAATTAAAATCTACTTTGTATTATTTTATATAACCTCGATTTAAGTTTTTAACATTTGTAACATTGAAATTAATATTTCAAAGTTGAGTACAGCCATCATAAGAAATTTCTTTTGCGAACCTCTGTGGTTAAAAATTTAAAAAGTAGATAAGTATTACACATCGCTTTGTATACGGTTAGATGTTTACTTGGTCTCTATTTATAAAAATACAATTAATATTAATTTCAACATAGGTATCATTATAATATTAATGTCAATTACATATTAACACAAATAATTTAAGCATTAGCACAAAGTAACTGCCGTGAAACATTGAGAACTTAATTCGACAATAATTGCTTCGATTTTCAACTACGAGAGAGCGTTCCTCGATATCAAAACATGAAAAATATCGGAATAGGACTTTAGTGTAGATAGAGAAAAAATATTAAGTATAATGATTTATCGCAAAATCATAATATATTCCATCATCATGTTACATTATTAATCCTTTTAGTGTTTCAATTCATTAATACTAATTTTAAGTAAGGTGGTACATATTAAGTAGTAAAAAAATATTTCAACACTTCTTGATAAAATCGTCGGAACAAAAACGTCTTTTTTATGATTTGTTTCAGCGATAGTTATAAAAATAAGTTGTATAATTTATTAATTAATTTAAAATTTTATGTAATCTGTATTACGTACAATGCTAAATCTGTTGTTACATTGGCTAACTGATACGTGACATTGACACTTAACCGATATTATTTTAGTGTTTTTGACATTCGCAATTCGCAACTGACAGCTGACTCGTTCCTCAAATTCTGATCATTCGATTTTTCGCTTTGGCATTAAGTATCTTAAAAATATCTGAGTTCTGTGAAAATTATTTATTATTTGAAGGACGGTTATCTTATTTTGAGGCACAATTTGAATTTTAAAATATTGATTCATATTATTAACTACACGCTCATTAGTTATACCAATTGACTTCCACGTTTTCCCGTGATTACGAGTTATTGCTGGTTATAGACCAGAAGTGATTTATAGTATCATTATCCTATTATTAAATAGTGGAAATGTCGAAATACTGACAGGGAAATAATATTGATTTATCGAATGTTGCATGAAAGTACATCAATACATCTTTCATTAATAACAAGATGCAAAGCAGGAACAATTCACTTTCAGGTAAAATTACTTTTAATCTGAGTCTGTAAAGGCTAAAGATTATGCAGAAATCATGCAGATATATCTTTCAGTTCTTGGCCCAACAATGGGCGGTTCACCTGCTGTGCTTTTAACTCCAGGAAGAACTAGAAACATCGCGCAAGATATGGAAGCTCTACGACTTTCACGACAAGATAATCCCTATTTACAGGTGCGTAACACTTACGCGTAAGCACATTACCATAGTTGATTATCATTAATATTTATATTGTTACAGCAGGTTATGGCTAGCAGAGAGAGTCTTATTGAAAGTCACCGGGAGGAATGTGAATCGGATGATACTATACTTATGTCACAGGTAAAATATATATTTTTATCGGAAAAGGATGATACAACATACATTCACTTTGTTAAAGAAATCTAAAGGGCCTCACCTGTGTAACACCATTTTTTTTAAAGTCTCTATTCATCTTTGCTTAGACTAAAACACATTTCATTTTAGAACCAAAATAAAAGTGGCTAGCAATCCCCACCCAAAGGAATTTTTAAATAGGTACATATTCAAATGATTTATTTTATTTTCATTCTTAGGAATTTGGTAGTACAGCTCTTGATTTTGTGGAAGATGACCCTCTCACATTAAAAGAAGTCCATGAACATATGATAAGATCACCACCACCGACCAGTTGTTGGCCACAAGGTAGGTGTAAATCAAACAATTCTTTTAAAATAGTAAATAGGTTTTGATGCCATTCAAAATTTCTATTATATATGCATTTATATGAAGAACAAAGCGATGTTTGGACTCAAACATTTGCTTTTCTTATGGATGCTCAATAAAATAATAAAGAGTCTGTAAAATAAGATAATAGTTAAAGTAGAAAAATGGTTCAAGATAAAAATAGAAATATAATTTATGAATGATATGTATATCTCTTAATTCTTTGTTTTAAATCTTTAAATATACTAATACTGTCTACTAACTTATCTGCTTTACTAATAATTAACATGTTTTCGCTTGCGACTTGGATCAAGATTCTCTGTCTAACCGAGCAACGAGTGCATTTGATTTTGGAGCAGACAGCCCGGTATCATATAGTGCTTTTTCAGTCAATTCACAGGAGAAGGTTACTAATTATATTAATCTATGTATGTTTGTACACATAGCTTTATATTTGCACAAAATTCATTATAATTATACCTATTATGAATAAACTATTTTATCACTTGGTATGGTGATATATATAGCATAAAATACAAAATAATGTCCCGAAGTATATTATAATTCTCACTTCTTGCGTGTTGTCTTTTTGACTTATTCAGTTTCTTTCTAGTCAGGTTGCTTGGAGGCAGTCACTTAGAGCAATAAGGTCACCCAGTGCACAATAAAGAGTTGTGAAATTTCATTGTTTGTCTGTATGTTTTGTGTCCATAAGTGTGAAATTGATAATTAATAATATATACCTGTATATGTACAATATAACAAGTCATTTCTCTTACGAGCTATACTGCTTTTGATAAATAATAAAGTTTTAGTAAAAATCCTATTATGAAGAGAAATGTCGCAATTCAATTGCCATTAGAATATAATTATTTATATGAACTTGACTTATTTTAAAACAACCATAGAATAAGCATTAGTGATGCAACAGATAGTTATTTGGCCGGATACTCGGCTGGCCAAAAAGCTGCTTCTCGAGGGCCTAAAAATGACTCGTAGCGAAGAGGAATCAAATACTTAGTAGGGAAGGTGATTCACCTCCAATGTAAAAAAATACTTTTTTAAGGGGAAAGGCAGGACTTGTTTATGTATGAAAATTGGAGGAATCGATAGTTACCCAAAAATTCAGCGAATCTCGATTTTGTTCACCACAATTTGTCGTTAGTTAATTATGAATATTAAACTCTCTTTTCGTTAATTTGGTAACATTTATTTTATTTGATTAGAAATTAGCATACGATACGCTACGACTAGTTGATCCATTCAACTGCCGCTGATCATAGGATCTTTAAACCAAGATATTTCTCATCAAATTTATTATAAAGTAATATGTATACATCATTATGTATAACAGGTAATACATATTTTTTTATAGGAGCTGCTAGGGGGTAGGTCGCCGCGACGAGGAATCCGTTGTGATGAGACAAAGAACAATAACAGCAGCAGACCTCGTTCGTCAAGATCAGTGTCTCCTCGAGCTCATGATATCACACTGTGTGGAAGACCATTATCCTTGCCAGGTGCGGCAAACTAACAATTTGTTGAACAGTTTATTCTTATGCTTCAAAATTAGTTTTATAAACAAAAAACTTAATATTCCACCACCATGACTCAGTTGTTAAGTGCATTACCTAAAATTTACTTAAGCGCACCGAAAATTAACCCATGCGTTCATCCGTCCCGTCAGTGGTTATGGTCCGAATTTCGCCAAAACAATCATTTCGATTTTCAGCCGGGCAGGCTTGTTTATAACTAGCCTGAAAAAAATAATTGAAATACACAGAAAGAGATCTGCACAGACTTTTAGTGCCTACTGTAGATAATGTAATGTAAAGCACTGACAAACGTGAGGTTTATTTGATGGGAGGTAAAATACCCTAGCCATACAATACGTTAGGGGGGGGGGGGGGGGGGGGGGGGGGGGGGGGGGGGGGGGGGGGGGAAAAAAAAAAAAAAAAAAAAAAAAAAAAAAGGGGGAAAAAAAAAAGGTTTTTTTTTTTTTTTTTCCACGCCGGGGGGGGGAAAAAAAAAAGGGGGGGGAAAAAAATTTTGGCCTTAAAAAAAAAAAAAAAAAAAAAAAAAAAAAAAAATTTTAATTAAAAAAAAAAAAAAAAAAAAAAAAAAAAAAAAAATTTTTGGGGGGAAAAAAAAAAAAAAGAGATGGGGAGGGGGGGGGGGGGGGGGTGTAAACCCCCCCCCCAAACCCCACGGGGGGGGGGGGGGTTAAAATTTAAAAAAAAGTCACGTGATTTACCTTGTGACCCCTTATAATAATAAGATGTGCTGTCAATCGATTCTGAATTTGGAGTTTTGGACTTTCATTAATTGAAACCAAATTACAGATTTATTCCTTACCCTATCCAGATTTTCTACACGTGTAAAATAGTATATGTAAAAGTTACGCTGATCAGTGCAGTATTATATAAAAATGTAATACAGAGTAACAAAGTTGCTCCATGTTTTTGTAACAAGACAGAATAGTTTTGCATAAATTACAGGGTAGAATAAATTCACTTTCACCCAATGGTTAAAGTTTTATAACCACACGCTAATGTGTTTCTATGGCTTATGTTGTCTTAATTATATCAATTTGTATGTATACATTTCAGGTGAAGCACATCTGCGTTGTGCTTTAAATAAGAAACAGAATAGTCAGCAAGCTGATAGGTTTTCTATCCTTCAACCGAGGCCCATAAGGAGACCTCACGCAAACCGACATTCAGAAGACAGTGTTCAATTAGTGCCAGATTGCGATAAGTAAATGATATATGTACGTTCACAAAATATACTCAACGTAAATCGGTGTTCGGTGAGATATTTTGTGAGGTTGTTTAGGTATTCGTGGAATGATCAATGTTTACTAATCTTTGATTGTTTGTCGAAGCATCTCTGTAAGCGTGATGCGTATTTCGAATAACTAGTATTTAAAATTTTTTTTATTCTTATAGTCACGACCTTATTCTTTCAGCAATTTCGGTCTTAGTACTCCTTAGTCGTACCTTAGACTTCTTGCTGGACAAGAGACATTCTCTTTATTTCAATAGCTTTAGGAAATCGTTATTGACTAAGGAAAATGACAAAATTAATTTAGTCTATTTACAAATGATACACCTTAGAAACGCTTGTTCACGTTTAATAGGGGTTATAAAACACTTAAAAGTAATAAATAATAAATATATAGTTTAATAAACTATTTAATAAGGGAACGCCACTGGCATGCGCTGGTTACGCCAAAATTTTACCAAGCATCGTTGAACTTTTAGTATATATCTCTACATTGTCTGTACACCCATAACCAACGAGCTGTCTTTCCATATTTAATCATTACCTTTCAAAACCTATAAACATTAACTCGTTACTAAAACGTTTTTATTAACTCATCAACTAATTACTTTTAAATTAAATACTATAACGGTTTAAAACGCGATATATTAGTTAAACTTATTTGAAAATGATTTTTAACTTCCGCCCGACGTTTCGGATGCTTTGCAGCAGCCGTGGTCACGGGGAGAACAAATAATTGTTTTACTTAAATGTGTACTACTCGCGTAAACTATAGACAGTATTCAACTAATTACTTTCAAGAAATACGTTAGAGCCAAATAAATATTACTCTGCTAGTTATAGTCGAAAAAGTGTCTTAGATACGCACATTAATTATAATTACATTAGTAATCATAAATTTAAATGACAAAATTGACGTGAACAATATGTGTGGTCAACTAAGCTGTCCCCCTGCTTTGTCCCGGCTTTATCGTTCAAATACCGTGTTTATATTCTTAACTAATCTACACCCACTTTATCAATATTAATCTCGCATTCGTATATAATGTATCCATATACTCAACAAGAAGTATTCTGTATAGACGCCGTATAGGCGCAGTATTAAAAACTTAATGTTTTAGAATTAGTACCCACAGTTAAGTACCCCTTCTCAGTTACGTTTGTATGTTCGTGTTAAACGTCTGTGCTAAATTTTATTTCGTTGTTGTCCTCTCAATGTTTATATTGTTGCATGTTTGTATATCATATACGCCCAATCGATTTTACTAATTTTAATATTAGATGTTAAGATTTTTTCTTCAAGTAATCAACGTTTATAGTTTATTTGGATTTCAACTGTTATAAACCCTTCATTTACACAACCAATTTAGGTGTAGGTTCGTTATAAGCCACAGTTATCTACTTATATTACTTAGGACCAATCTTTTAATGTTCGGAATTATGTTTACTGACAAAAGAAATTTGAATAAGAGTAACTGAAATTATCTTTCAAAACATCACATGGTTGAGTGTAGGAGTAACTCTGTGTTATCAATTTGAAAGTTCTGGCTATATTTGTTAAAAAATTGGTCCTGTACTCATAGTTTGTAAATAGCAAGATTTAGATTATACTTGTCTGGTGCCATTATATAAACTGTTTTGAGTTCTAGTTTTGATTAAAGATGAATCAACTTGCCCTTTGTTAAATTGCTGCGATATTAATTTTACGCCTAAGAAGTTTTCTGGTCATTCGCGGGTCGATGGCCATTACCTATACATTATACATAAATAAAAAGTTACAAAAATCTATTGTCTTTAAATTAGAATGTCCTAAGGCAGCGTATACGAAAAACACAGCCTGTGTTTAAAAAAAAGTTATCAAAATTAATGATATTTAAAACTGTGATGACTAATAATAATGATTTAAATAAAACACTTTAACGGCTTAAAACGCGCTATATTAAACTTATTTGAAAATGATTTTTAACTTCGGCCCGACGTTTCGGATGCTTTGCAGCAGTCATGGTCACGGGGAGACTAAAAATGGAGAATGTCTCTGATGTCAAAGTAAAAATTGCTGCTATGCTAGCGCCATTTGTTCGCTCGAAGTTGGTATTTGGCGAACCTTACAGAATTGACTAAAGGTGTCGTCGCATTTGCCTATGCTTTAAGGAGTTTTAAGTTCCAGGTGATTTGGCCGACCGAAATTTGGCCGTTTTGATCCTTGCTTTCCAAAATTGACTACCCTGGGGGGGGAATTTGGGCCGCCCAAAGCGAATGTAATTTAACTTTGTTTCGTCGATGTAGGATATCACACAATTCACGGAGCCAGAGTTTTTAAGGTATGTAAAATAATAATAAATTTTATTTGAATGTTTCGAATATGGTGATTTCTGGAGGACCAACTATAAAAAACAGAGTCATCCGAAGATACTTTAATTGATAAGTCAAATCTTTTATTAAAAATTTGGACGCCTGTAACATCAACTCGATCGAAGTCTTTTTTAAATAACAATATTGTTCTTATGTTGTAGGATAAAACTTATTTTGTGCCCGTCTTTCCGAGATATATACAGGAAAAAATAATTTTGATTAAAAAATATTTCTAATCGGTACCACCGTTAACTATGCCGTTTCAAAAAAACAATGATTCCAGAATTGTTTAACCTTGGATCTCAGAAACAAATGCCCGAATTAAATATCACCGTGGACGCTCAAAGAACCTGGTGAGGATTGTGGACAAGTGGAAGATTGCGGCAGTAGATTTGACGCATAATTCTTCTTTTGAAGCAATTTTTTTTTCTCCATCCGTTAAGTGAGGAAAAAATAAAATCACTTTTTCAACAATGACATTGATACACAATGCCAGCTAGCGCGATTAAAATTCTACAATTGTCTATGAGACGAGTGTACCCTGTAGTACCTTGGATTTCACACCAAGTTAATAAAACAAAAATAATAATGTAATATATGAATTTATTTAATTTGAAAGGCACTACCTTAACAAAGGCCTTCTTCCACTGTAAATGTACTAATGAAACAACATTGTAAATAATTATTTTAGCGTCTACATTCACAAATTTATCGAAACTATGTACATTATATTTAAATTGTTCTGAGTCGAATTTATAACAATCGCAAAGGATATCCATTATGAAGTATAAAAATACGAGTTAATATTTGTTAGGATTAAAAATGTTTTAACATTTCGAAGTGAGACTTCACGTCGTACTAAATGGTGTATTCGTAGGTTCACCATTAGTGTTAAAAGTTAATTACAGGCGCTTATATTATATTTCGTTGTCTGTGACGTAATCCCAGGCGGAACCGCTGTATAATATCTGGTTTTTAATCTCTTTCAGCTTAGAAATGTAGTGCTTGTGTACTTTGGTGTTGGTCCTGGTGTAGCGAAGGGCCGTTATCATTTTATCCGCAGTGTAATGCAGCCACAATATGTTTGTATACGGCTCGTAATTCTGCCAATCGTTTCTGAAATATACAAACCACTAAAATGAGCTTAAGTTCATACATTATTGTTGTAACATAGTTTTTTTGCAGGTAATAAAAAAATATTACATATCATCAAGTATGACTTAGATCAGAATATAATTCTCCTCAGCTCCAATCTACCACGATTGGCTACCAACTGCCTGATACTTTAAATCTATTATACTAAAGCTGAAGTTAAAGCATTTATTGAAGAAAGCTTTAGCTATAAAACATCACGTGGCGACCCTCAAGAGGAGCAAAGAATCATTGGGAAACTTGGAGAAAACGGAGAAAATTATTCATCTTTGTGTATGAAAGAATGGTTCTTCTTTAAATGATCCAAAAAAAAAACGAGCTCTTCTACGCGGACAATGTCGCGGCCCCATCTGGTGATAAATAAGGGCTTACCCCAATCGGTCGCGCATACGGCGATAGACTTCAAACTGGTAATCGCCGAGCGCGTCAAAGAGCGTCTCGTCTTCAGACAAATCGCAGCAGAGCACGCGGCCGTCGAGCGACAAACGCGACAGCGAGTAGTCGATGATCGTAGCCTTCACACCGCACGTACGCACGCGGTAGGCGCGCCCGCGCACCACGAATGTCGCGAACTGAAAATATATACACTTATATAGTTTATAGAATAAATAGAAAACAAAACACTGCAGTAGAAAAAACAACGTTTCGCTACCCGTTTTATGGTAGAGGACAGATGAGCTTAGGATGCTTGTGAGCTTTCACATTTAAACAAATTGCTTTTGGATGTTCGAAAATTTTTTACTTTTAAATTAAGTTTTATTAGTACTAATATACTAGATTATAAGAGGCAAGGCAGTATAGAAGTTTAGTAATTATTGAATGTTTAAGAAGGCTTATTAAAAATAAAAATAAATATTTAAAACTTTGTACCAAAATAATTATATAGTTACCTTTCTATCAGTAGGTGCAATTAAAACATTGCCCCAGTGTAAGTCACGATGTTCGAATTTGCATGCCTCCTCCGCTACCGCCAAGCCGAATGCAACCTGAAGTGAACATACATGTAATATTTAAATACTATAGAAAAATTAATACATGCACAATATTATATTATTTTAAAATAATAACATCGGGTTTTGTATCTAAACAGCGCGGACAGTTTAGTCAAATATTTGAGTGGTGAACGACACTGACTGATCATGAAGGTCAATGACCGGAGTGTATTTGATTGTCTTACTCTAATGGAGCAAACATTTTTTGTCTTATCAATAACAAACTTGACTTTATGTAGACCCTTGAAAAGAAAATATCTATATAAGTGTTTATCAATTCAACTAAAATTTGGACAATCAATGAAATATATTTAACTCAATCAGTACAACTACAACTAATATCAAAAAGTAAGAAACATTATAAAAAACACATGCAAAACACACTAAAAACATCTTCTACTAAGAAGCGGCGACAACTTTGAAGGATAAGTGAAAATCTAGTCAAGATACAAACACACTTGAACTAGAAATTCACCTACCATCCATTGGAGTCATTTATCGGAGCATGCAAAAATAATGCTGTAAAGAAAAAAAACACAAATTCTATATATTATGTATATATAGTAGGATTAAAAAAACTCAAAACAAAGTGCATATGCCAACTCACCTGTTGCAACAAAGCGTAAGCTTGCTCAGCGTTGTTGAACTGGTAACTCTCCAAGTCTTGGCCAGCATTGGCCAATTCTAGCACTATATAGTGCTGATCAGGTGGAAGAATAGCTGGGTTATCGTTCTCGGAGCCTTTACACTCGTCGTACAAATCCCATAGGTCGAGAAGGCGGCTTGGATAGCTACCATATACTAGGCGGACTGCTAATACCTTAAAAGGAAACATAAGATCTTATTAAAAAGATATACTACTTAAATCTGCCTAATAAATTGGAAGTTGATAGCATTTATCTAACGAGCCAGGAAGGATTCAGAGTTCTCATATTTCCAAGGCCAAAAATACCAAAATTATACTATTAGTTTAGTAAAAATATTTTGATTACAGCGGTTGTTAGTTTTAATGTGTATCATGAATCATCATGTAAAACTACGTTGACGTAAGCAACGTCTTTTTCTAATTAATCGCAAACGTAAGCTGACTTGAATTGTTCTTAATGTGAGTCAGAGATTATGCAACGTTACTGGGAAATTCAATCGTGTAAATTAACTGGTGTCACTAATATTACACAACAACTGTTGAACGTGTATGGCAAAATTTATAATAGCTGGTGTGAAATTCGTCTTAGTAAGTAGGACAATTTTAAACGGAATCTTATTAAGTAATCCAAGGAGGTCTGTAGGTAGGTAACGCCGAGGTTTAATAGTCAAATACGCGAGACACAATGTTTTGGGTTAGGGCACGGTAATAAAATTTCTACTAGCCTCTAAATAAAAACTCAGAAATGTTAAAAACGTTACAGTTTAGTACTAAACAATAAAATACAGTTAATAAAAATATATGGGCTAGTGATGTTTAAGACAGACAAGTCCCAAACATTCAGACAAATATCTTATCAGCACAAACAAGGCATGCCTATAAACAGTGCAGTATTGATAACTCTCACTAATCAAGTCTGTCCCATTTCTGTTATCATTCAAGGCATCCATCACAAGTCTATGAATGGGTTCGCTTAGAGGATAACTTGACCCCTTAGCCTCAGAAACTTGTTAAAAGGTCTAAAAATGCAAATAAAATGCCTCTAGGATGCTTTTTAAATACCATCCATAATTTTATCATGTGTATTTTAAGGGTGTAACACAGATTCTTCATATAAATATATGTATATTCCCTCTCTATAAGGTAGATTCCATGAACGCCGTGTATTAAATGATTGCGCAATAATTTTATCGAATTCAATCGTAAAGCCACTGATAACATTAATGTATAATGATCACGTGTATCTAGTACTAACAATCGGCAGATGTGTAATTGTCGGAAAAGTACATCATAAAAGTAGGATTCTATCAATGCCATCTTATCAAGGTTTCTCGACGCATAAATTAATATTATTCAGCTTTAATATTCGCTAGGTTTTGCAATAAAGATATCAATGTATTTTTTTTTATAAAACAGGATAGCATGTGGTCCACTTGATGGTAGATGAAATACCAGCCATATAACATCTAAACTAGACGCACTAAAGACATATTTTGGCTTTGGATATTCGGAAATGTAGACTGAAACCGAAATGCGATTAAACTTGACGGCTTTTTCATCTGCAGTGGGTGATTTGTAGCCCGGATGGGATTTTGATATATTTGATTTGGATTTTTTAATACAGTTTAACAGCTGTAATACTACATGTTTCAGAAAAATTATAGATTGATTAGAAAAGCTTTGAAGCCACTACCCAAATTGAACCCAAGACTTCTAGCCATACATTGCCACAATTACTCTAATAAGCCCGTCATAAGCTATGTAGTTTGTCACTGTTTTGTGTTAATCTTTGTATAGATAAACTGGAACACGGATGGTTGTATTAGCTCATCTAGCAATTACAAATAATCTAATCAAAATTCAGTATTCTCAAAAATCTTTGGATATCTATTAGTGATTAATTTTGTTTTCATATTCAGATGTGTCATTTTTATCTATTAACAACAACAGGATAATTATATTATAAAGATGATTTATAATTAAAAACTTAACCTGAATCATAGCATATTTACTATGATATATGTATTTGTATAAATTTTTGATATATTCAAAATTTCCGTTAGTACAAACTTACCTTGTTAAAAACATCAGTTGCATTCTCTACAGCTTGGAAATCTAGAGATTCTATATTTTTTCCTTCATCAAAGTGTCTTTCTATTTGTGGTATTGGAGCGCTAAGGGCGCTCAATTCCCTATAAAGAAAAACATATGTCAGCAATTATCTCAAATTTATCAATGGCATGAACTAACAAATTGCCCAACACTTTAAAAAAACAGTTAAGTATAAAAGAAATGTTATAAAGTCTAAACTTTTACATATCATATTGATATGAGATTTTGTATAAATAAATAATTTAAATGACTCAATATTTTACTTACATAGCAATCACAATCTCAGAGATGATCTGATGGTAATCCTTTTGTTTCTCGCCATTGACCACCACATTCCCAGCAACAGGGATCACTTTAAGCACTCTCGCCTGTCCGTCACCTGCTCGCCAGAGGAACACCTCTCCATACACACCCTCACCAATTTTTCGGCAATTTTTCAGGCATCTTTAATTAAATATACAATGTCAAGTATTACAAATCCCTTTCTTTTTTTGATCACCTTATTTTGATACTTAACAAAAAGGTAGGTAGTCTTTAGATAAAATAAACTTTAGTAAACATAACATGTATTTAATAGAAATTCCCATGTTTTGTATAAAGCACATGATGACTTATGTATAATATAAATTGTACATGCTACAATTGTAGACAGAAATGCCACCATTTTGTTATTTACATGACCTACAAAGATGTTTGACTATATATGAACATGTGCTAATTATCTATTATGACAGCGAAATGTATAGTATTAAAATGAGTGATAATTACGAATACTTAAACTTACGTATCAGGGTAGCATTCATCGAACAACAATGCATCCGTTTGATTGCAGCGACGCAAAACGTAATCACGCGCTGTACTCGAACGATTCGAAGTATCATGAAATTTCTCTAATACCCTGTCGACCTCAGGGTCACAGAGCGATAGTTTTGATAAGTTAACGACCGTATCATCACAATCCTCGGTCAATAATCCTGAAAAACCATATTTCAAAAGATCTCATCACGACAAGGAAGTGAATGACAACTTTCCCTATGCGTAATGATTACGTAGAATTGGAAAACAAGGTGAGACAATGATGGCACAATTCACAAAAAAAATACAACTAACCTGTGTATTGCAGGGAAAGATGCATGCACTTGGCTTTAGACTCTTTTTACAGAACAAAGACGCAGAACCAAGCTATTATCCCGTTACGGATAATGTATGGCAGTCAAATGGTTTAGTCAAAACTTAGCACAAAGTACCAATGTCCTTGTATTTTAGACAATACAGAGTCACTATCAATATAGTTTAATGTTCTTAAAAACCAATAGAAACAAAAATTTAAACTATGTACTCTTACACAAAAATATTAAGCAATATAACGTTAACGTATGAAATACGAAAACGCAATGAAAAGAAATTAATGTTAGATGACTAACACGCTATAATAATGTTACCATGACTAAAATATTATTTATTAATTTGATTATTAATGTTGCTCTCGTTAATTATTATAATAAAATAGTACTTTATGATGAGCAAAAGGTTCCAGTCTATGGCGAAGCCAGAAACTTGAATGGCAGCGGATTGTTACTTTTACAAAATATTAAGTATTCATTTTTATTAGCCATTTGGTAATTTTTCCTAAGTTTGATTAAAAGTTTAATGTGATGGTAATCTTTCAAAGGTTTCAAGACTCGTAAACACGATATGTCATTAGTGTCAAACATATACATAATATTATAATTTCTTGCCTAAGCAAAGTGAAACAATACAAAACAGTAAACACGCACGGGTGTATTCTGACGATGACTAGAACTTGTATAAATATTACGCTTAAACCAGTAGATATAATTATATTTAAAAATATATCAATAAACCAATCAGCAGCTAGCTATTGTTGTGTACAGAAATTTGGTAATGGAAACAACTACCATGATAAAAAGTACAATAACAGTAATTGTCTAGGCTTTGGATACTGACCTTCTAAATCTTCTATTACTGTTGTAGAATATATACTAGAATCCTGAAAAAGGAAATAATCTCTTTGTAATTCTAATATTCTATAAAATATATTTTAGTATGAATTGGAATGAAACTATACCTTGGTTAATGACTTTGTTGGCCCGATGGCTTTAGAAACAAAGGTATTTCTGTGACTTTTGATGCTTTCATTGTGAAGTGAAGCTGTAAAGTATAGAATATAGTTTTAAATTGCACTTTATTTATAAATAATATGTAAAGAAATGTACTATTAAATAAAACCTAAGACCTGACATTACACTGCAACTTTGGCTGTTGGTGTCAAATTGAAGTCTTAAAATTGTCTTAATAGTTTAAAACAAGGAATAATTGAAGGAGATCTAACATTACTTTATATAGGTAACTATTACTTACAATTTAATTCCTGCATCTCCATAGTAGTAATAACACTTTGTCTGTAACATCTTCCCTTGTGTTTTAAGGATTCAGTATCAAGTAAAGAAGTATCTAAGCCATCAACCATAGTAGTCATCCTCCTATAAATACTCAGAGACCTTTCCCATCTTTTTCCAGGTTGTAATACAACAGGATTCCTAATTTCACTAATTTCCAAACAATCAAGTATTTCACTTTGCCTAGACATAGCAGGTTGGGTTTCCATATTTTTTAATTTTTGACTCATTCTGGTATTATATCGGTCACTTTGCTTCAAGGATTTGTTCTTACTTAATTTCTTTGCACTATTTTTATCATATGATAGGGATTCATTATTTTTTATTATTTCTGAAATGTCTGTTGTCGAAGCCATAGGATCTATGTGTTTATGGACATCTGCAGATTGGAAAACTATGGTGTCGTTTTGTTCTGTTGAATCATCTATGAAGACTGTATCAGAATTTATAGTGTTACTATCTTCCCTATATTTAAGTGTTTGGTCTTTTTTATCATTTTGACTAGTTTTGTTTATAGCTAAGTCTTTATGCACATGTGCAAACCGTAGAGAAGACCTGGTGAAATGCATATTTTCCACATCTACCTCTTCACTGCTTGAACTATTATTTAAAGTAGAAATAGACTGACGCATTTCTCTAGAATAATCTCTACTTTTATTACAATGACGCACAGTAACGTTAGGAGTTTTATCATCAGCATCCATCAATTCATTATCCTTTCTATAGTAGTACAAATATTCATTTTGTTCTACTAATGTTTTAATATCGGATTCAGACTCATGTTGTATAACTGTAATATTGGATTCTGAGATATTTCCGCTGCCATTACAGTCATCTAAGTTAAATAAAAAAGAGTCTTTTGGTAGTAAGTTGTTTCCTCTCCTTGTAGTTATAAAACTTACTGGTTTTCTATTGAATGACTCATTATTTATCTCCATTGACATATCACTATTATTTGATAAAGATGTTGTATTAAAACTTTGATAGTGATCCAAAGAATTAATACTTGATGAGCTTTTATTTATCTCTACATTACAATTCTTCATATTACATCTAGTGAGATCAGATTGCTTTAGCCTTGCAATTTTTACTAAAGATGGTTTAGGTTTGATGGAATCTTGCATATATTTTCCTGATGTTTCAAGAGACTCATTATCACTACATGTGTCATAAGACGAATTTGAATCAGCTGCAAGACTCCAATCCAAATCACAATTTTTACTATCTATATTTAAATTTTTAATAGTTTTGCTAAAACCTAGAAAAGGCTCACTTGATATCTCACTCTCTGTTAGGGAGAATGTTTGAATCTCATTACTCAATGTTTCAGAATTGTCTAGTAATTCTCCAATACTTTTGTTAGTTTTTGCAAAACCTAAAAATTGAGAATGTTCTGGTGTCTGACATTGAATACTGGAATCTTGATTGTATACTTGTAATGATTCATCTGCACAATCTTTGATTTCATTTAAAGAAGCATTTTCTTTTTGTTTTTTTACTCCATGTAATGAAAGAGCAACATCTTTTACACTACATTCCCCACAGCCAATAGTTTCCGTTAATTTTGCTTCAACACTATTATGACTTTCTTTTGAAATATTTTGTATAGTGCTATTCTGGGGTATGGGTTTAAATTCAGTTTTACATTCAGCCCCAATAACAATTGGTGAATACTTGTAAATTGACTGCCCTCTATACTTTTTATGTATTGGTGTGCTACATATAGGTGATGCTGATAAAGTTTGTTTTCTATGATATGTCTCTCTTTGTGGTACCATTGGACTATATTCCTTTTCAAAATTAATAGACCTAGGAAGGCTATTTTTAACCTTTTCAATGGAATCATCTGTTTGTACAATTTTGTTTAAGTTCTTATCTAATAATAAAAAATGTGACTTTAGATCACTTTCATTTGGTGACATATTTTGATCTATAATAATGTTTTCCTTGTCAGATCCTGGTAAAAAAAAAACATGATTTAGCATACTTAAATTAACTTCCTATAATTCAATCAATATGTTGTTACCTGAGCTATCAGAAGTGGAATAGTTAAATTCCTTTAGCTTACTAGTTTGTCTATAGCGAAATACTTTTTGTCTGAAAATGAAAAGCAATGTAAGTAGTTCCTAGTAAATAAAGCAAATGTTTTCACCCAACCACATATCAATCGTCACACACACATGTTAGATCGACCATGCCAGTAAATTGAATATATCACAGAAATGGACACAATAGTATCTGCCCCCTGTCCCATTTAGGTCTGCTATAGGGGTTATTGGATTTAACTCTGATGACGGAAAATAGATTCTTACCCTGCATTAGTACATTTCTTATCCTTACTACCAGGTGAATTTACAGAAGAATTAAGTAGCTGGTCAAATAAGTCCTCTACTTTATTTACTCGTAGTGATTTATTTGGTGTAAGAAACGTTTTTTGAGAGGGTGATAGTTGAGGGACTTCTGGTTCCTTTAATCTCTTTACAAACTTTTTCTTCTGCACTCTACCCGAAAAAGGAACTTGATCAGCACCTATGGAAGATAATTCACGCTTGGTATGTTTAATGTTATGTATGTAGAATCCTTCAAACTTCGATGTTTTGTCGTCCAGATTTTGTATAACGTCCCTGGGATCCAGCCCACCACTTTCTTTTTTGGACCTATAAGTGCGCCGCATATTTAAATTGGCGAAATAAGGTAAACCAGTTTCGAGGCTAAAATAGTGTATGTTTGTCCAAATTCCGTTGCTTTTATTTATGTATAATGTTATTTATTTATATTTGAGAATACATCTTATACATTCAAAAAACCCGTTGACGTTTGACAATAACAATTTTAATTTGAAGTTAGAATTGTAATAATTCTATAATATACGCTATGGTCCACAATGTCTATAGACACATTATAATGTGTGCTATAGAATGTACTGTACTCATATTTGTTTTTAGCTCTAGAACGGATAGACTTATTTATTTTTATTATTTACAAATAGACCTTTATTCTCAAGAAACTATAGCATGTTTGCAATAAACTCTTTTTTGGCTTGTAAGATTGATAATTGATATACATACATTCTATCAATAGATATACTTTATTACGAAACCTCTAGAATAGAGTAAGATTGCTGTCTCAAATTATGAGAAATCTGAAAATGAAACCTGCTTTATAAAAAGCATTTCTTTCTTGGATTCATGAAAAAAAAAACAAAAAAATCTTATAAACGTCAAACCCCTCATATATCTCTATCTATGTTTATATCCCAAACAACAAGGCATAAATATGCTACTGTGATTAACCTTACAGTATAGAGTTAATAAAAACATACGTAAACTTTTCACACTAATTGGTTTAATAATTTAGTGAAATACAATTCCTGTAGAAGTTTACACACATTGAGTACTTACATAATTTAGTCTCACTACTGATAGATATCTTATTGATGAAAAAGATAGCTTTGGCTTGTTTATTCACAATTCGGGGGTAGTTTATAGTATTTCTGTGAAATATCTTACGTAATTTTAAAAAACACAAACAAAAACACAATGTATGTATTAGTAATAATTAACACAGCTAATTATTGCTTTTTTTGCCTCAACCGTTTAATTTTTGCAAATACATACTAATATTAGTTTGCAAATAATAGATATAAAATAAAATAATTATTTTCCTATTAATATTTACAAGACAAAGATACCTCATATTAATCGCAATGTATAGGAATACTACAAAATTATTCATCACAGAATATTATTTTAAAATGCGCATTTGACAGCAGGTACTATCATCCTAAAGATTCATCCATACAGCCTTTAGGTAAAGATGCCACAAGCCACAACCCACCAAATATAATAGGGCTTGCAACTACTAAGATTATGCCGACAAATCCATTTCGGATTAGGCATTTCAACAATATGCGGTTTACGTCTTTTTAAAAACCATTTAAAAAGACAATTTTATAATTGTTTTTAAGTTATCTTTTATTGCCTGCTCTCATTTGAAACATAATAAAATACAAAGTAATTATAAAACAACAAATTAAGATTGCTTACAATTTAAATGCTTAAAAATTAAGTAACAATTGGTATAAAAAAAACTAAGGCTGTTGATTAAAAAAACTAACTACATATTATCAAAACCATAAGACCAAGATATACAGGAATGGTCATAACCGAATGTAACAGTTTATAAAAATGAAAAGATTAAAATAACAAGCATATGCAATATAATTGAAGGAGTAGTTAACTAAATCATGCTTTATTAATGAGATAATCACATTAAATTGATGTTTTTGTGTTAAATTGAACCTATTTGTTTTCAGTTCACTTTATTTATTGACATATTGGCCTGCTTTTAGATTGTTTTTGTATGACATAGAATTAAAGCTAGTTATGGTTCCATAATATTTGTCGAAAGACTGTAATTAGTTGTTTACAGACAAAATTATAGTAACAATTAATATCATAATAATATGGTGACATACAAAACAGGAATATTGCACCATTACTAAAATTTTATGCTAATGCCATTATATTTCCACATATTTTCAGCTTCATATTGGGTTTCAGGTCCACATTAAATAATAGTACAAATATTTTTTTGTATCTGAATTGTTTACATTTAGGACACTGCATTTCTTCTTCGCACTTATACTTTTCAGCTAGCATTTAAACATTAAATCACAAAGAATTCCTGGGATGCTTAATACTAGTGGTCAATGATTTTGTGCAAACAAAAATAGCAGTAATGAAATATTCCAATGACTTTACTATAAGAGAAGATATATTTTCAGGAATTACAAAAGGCAGTCTTAAGACATTGGAATTTCATTTATGCATTTCTCTACAATATCACATGAATTTTAAACCTAAGTACCTATAAACATTTATGAGAACACATCAATAGGTCGCGGCGAAACGGTATCTAATGTGTGGTTTGGGCTTGCAAGAGGATCTTGAGATTCAGAACGTATTTTAGCCTCAATTGTTGCCTGTTTCACGGCCTCTTTGTATGCACCTCTCTTTTTTTTGTTAAACCGAAGCTGTAATTTATTAAGTTAAGTTGCAATCATTGGTATACTTAGTCAAAAGAAACTTAAAATTGTGAGATTTTCCATGAATAATAAAAACAGACATACCTTGTAGTCTTCCAAAAACGGGCTTAAGCTATTGCAAGGCATGAGAGAAGACGTAGTAGATGCAAACCAAGCTACATGAGCCCGTGATGTGGCAGTAATACTTAAAACTTTGCCTGGCCACCATGGAAATCCAACCACTTTCCCCCATACAATGTCACCTGGAGAAACCCTAACCAGCCTTCCACCAATACCTTCTGAATTAGGAGGAAAATCAGGCACAGTCTCATTTTCGCAGTCATCAGAATCATCTTCCCTACATTCAAAAGAATTACTACTTAAGCGACGTAGGTTGATAGAAACCTTCTGTTTATAGCAATGGTCTTTTAAATCACTAAAATACTCATTATCTTCACTTTTTGTAGAATTTTCATCCAGCTCCCTTGTAACCCTATGCTTCTTTTTATGTTTTACCTTATGCTTATGTTTTTTTTCTAAAGGGTCCGATAGTGGACTCTGAGATAAGTTGTTATGAGGAGATAAAGCCCCAATATGTTTTAAGGATTGATTAGATAACACATCTGTGTTGCACTGAACAGCACTTTTCTTAGCCTGTTTTTTTGCTCTCTTTAATGCTTTTTTTACAGCCTTTGAATCCGGTTTAGCCATATCACATGACACCCCCGAATCTTCATTAAAGTCACCACTTAGAGGAGGGATTTTTACAACAGTACCTTCACCTTCACCAAAACAAATTTTAAGAGTTCGTGCACTTGAAAACAAATTACTGAATGACGCTTCCTCATTTTTACTATCACACATACTATCATTGTTATCAGAGACACTAACAAATGCAACCTCTTGAGTCTTAACTGGTTCAAAAACTTTTTCTGCCTTTGAATTTTTCGCTTTCTCACTATTTTTTTGATTTACTTTGGTTGATTTGATAGCACTTGAAATTTCACTAGGCTGAAGTCTTGAAAGCTTTGGTATGAGCATACTTTTCATATTATTGGAAAACTTTTTCTCTAATTTTGATGACTCAGAGGTTGGTGGAGGCGTGTCGTCGTCTGAGTCTAACTTGCGTTTTTTGGACACGTCTACGTTTTCACTGTTTTCATTGCAGATGCCTTGGCAATTGGAACACAGCACTTTACGCGGTCGTAGTCTTACTGTCATCTTTTGGCGTGATTGAGACTTCCCTTTTGTTCCTGGCTTTTTAACTTTGTGATCCTCCTCCACATATTGAGGCTCTTGGTATGTAAACCGTTGACTGACGGAATGTAATTTTTCATCGGCACTCTCAGTTTTAGTAAACGCTGGATTTAGACCGTAGACTCCAAAGGGTAGATTACTGAAATTAGGAATAAAATCAGGTAACAAATCAATCGATATAATATAGAAATGAAATACACAAACTGTACACACCTCTTATTGGAATCTAAAAGAACGCCCTGAAACTTTTTATCTTCGGCAGAATAAGTAACTACTAATAAATCTTCAAGAGCTTCTTCAACAGTAACTAAAATTTGAGAGTTCTTTTGAATCATCATAATATCGGCTGTTACTAAACCAGCCGCCATATTATTTCGTAGATATATTATAATATTTTTCAACTATATCTCCATTTAATCTGTGTTGTTAATTCGCAGATAACATGTACATAAACAAACTAGATAGAGCATAATATAATATGCAATATGTGTCATGACATTAACTAAAACGGTTTAAAATTTTGTATTTAAAATATTAATAAATAAAGGATCCTTTAAATATTTTTTTGTACAGTCTAAAACGAAAAATGCATTAGTTCAAGCTTTCGAAATGTCGGGCCGTAGGCCAGTAACGTAAATTAAATGAAAAGTAACAATAAAAGAAAAGGCTTCACTTTATTATATAACTGCCTTTCTATACATATGTAGTATAAATATAAATCATATCTAACGGCTGACACAACTATATTTGAATTTATGTGATATATAAGTACATGATGTATAAGTTACGTGAGCTTAGTTATCTGTGGTGTTTCCTGTGTGGTGATTGGTGGGTACACTGACTACATTCAAATTGCGAATTCATATATTAAAAATAAAAATTTAGATTAAGAAACACTTTTTGTATTTATTAAGAGGTGCGTATTTAACACTGTTAATGAAAAATTGATAATACTGTAGTTCAAAATTGTTCATTTAGTTTATTGGTATGTTGTTTGTTTCGTAGTGTTTCTATTATCTTACATAATTTTCAACATTCACTGGGATTATTGTTATGATATAATTATTTGCATAGTTTGAAGGTCAGTTATTGGTATTTCATACAAATTAACTTTTTATTTCATATTCTAACTAGTTTAGGTGTAATTACAATTTTTTATAGTAGTCTTTGATTTAGCAGGTATCGAATTTCCTTTAGTAGAATTTCCACAGCATCGTGAACTTAAAAAACTTATTTTTTTTTAAGTTATGGGCCAATTATACCTCTGTTTCTTTCCACAGAAATAGTCAACAACTTATTGACTATTAGATTCAAACTTCAAGCAAGACAAGAATTAACATATTATTATTAATATATCTTTTCTTTGTCTTAAATCGATGACCATCTTTATTTATATTAATTTCCTTATGCTATTATTGGGTTCCATAAGGTGGTACTAATTCTTCCATAGTTTTGTAACTAAATTCTAATTGTATGCCAATTTCAGATCATGACTACAGACAAAAGGATTGATATCACCCAACCACTTTGGGATCAAAGTACATTTGTTGGGCGATTTCGGCACTTTGCTTTTATTTCTAACCCACTTCTCTCTTTGGTACCAGAAACAGAGTTACATCAAGCTAAGGAACTGTACTTAAAATATAAGTAAGTTATTTAAGAAAAGAGATAAATTATCCCGAACCATAACATTTTTCATAATGATAATCTGTCTTATAGAGAAGGCAAGGAGCCATCCGGCACAACAATAAAACAGGCAGTAAGAGCAAAACAGCTGTATGAATCGGCGTTCCATCCAGACAGTGGTGAATTGCAGAATGTCTTTGGTAGAATGTCTTTTCAAATGCCCGGTGGATGTCTGGTCACTGGTGCGATGTTGCAGTGGTACAGGTATTTTTAATCCCATTACTAATATTCTAGTGTTCACCATGCATTTGAAGCAAATATCATAATCAATTTCCTTATTTGACATATTGCTGTAATATTTTTTTTTATATGTTAATATGTTTTTATTGAACAATGTGGCATACTAGCAGATTTATAGCTGAATGTGTTATATTTTTTTTTAAAGACCGACAGACAGACAGAATACTGTGTCTTTAAAATATGACCAGATGAATCCTATAGCTACATTCTGTTAATGCACAAATATCAACATACAAATATGCTATAATAGTAAAGGTTATTTTATTAAATTATATGGAAGACATTGAATTCAATATTGGAATGGATTTTGTATTTTTTACTTAAGAGGGTTTTCAGGTCAAAACTTGCTGTGTACGCACAATATTTTAAATTGATTTCAGAACAGCAACCGCAGTTGTATTCTGGCAATGGGTGAATCAGTCATTCAACGCATTAGTGAACTACACCAACCGAAATGCGAACTCGCCTCTAACAACGACGCAGATGGGCGTCGCGTATGTGTCAGCAACCTCGGCCGCTATGGCGACCGCCTTCACCTTCAAATTTGTTATACAGAAGCGAGCTACTAATCCCATTTTAGCGGTCAGTTAAAACATTTTAATCCGCCTGAAAATAGCCTCATAGGTTTTGTAGCTTTGATGGCCATAAATATTAGGCTTTATGGATATATAATTAAATACCTCATCCATTGTTTCAGCGGTTTGTTCCTTTTGCTGCTGTGGCTGCTGCTAATTGGGTAAACATTCCATTAATGAGACAAAACGAGATTTTACTTGGTAATTTATTTACTAATCTTACACATAGTTTAAAACAATAAGTCTATTGTAACTAACATATTTCTTCTTATAGGGTTGGATGTAACTGATGAAAATGGGAAAATAATTGGCAAATCACAGCTTGCACCAGTTAAGGGGATATCGCAGGTTGTCACTTCGAGGTGAGTTTCCAAATCCAACTGTCCATTATTGCATTAAGAGTTCTTCATTGAAACTTCGAGACAAGAAATTTACGTCCACTTTCTATGCCCATATATTGAACATATGAAATCATTTTTACGCCTAAAAATAATACACATGGAAAAGTTTCCATCTCTACTACTCTGTTCTTGTGGTGTATTTTATTGGAAACAGGATATGTTGCAGTACAACTTAATGAACCAGCTTATATCATGTCATGCATCAATTTTACATTGACAATTCTTTCTTGCATATGAAATTTTTTGATTAACTTTTCGAAATGATTGTTTCAGAATTGTCATGTGTGCCCCTGGCATGTTGTTGCTACCCGTGATCATGGAGAAAATCGAACCTAAGGCTTGGATGCAGAGAATCAGATGGGCCCACATTGGCATTCAGACTGGCATTGTAGGATTATTGTAAGTATCTTCTTTTATATAAATATGTATTCACTTTTAATTTAGTTAATAACGACACTAGTTCAGATATGCAATTAGTAAATTAAATATGAGAAATAAAAAATCCACAATCCCATCCTTCACTAAATGAGCTACATGGCTTCGAGTCTCGCCCATAATCTAAGAGATTGGTTTTATACGTGTTGCTTAGCATTGCGTTAAGCGCGACACGTCCTGGGTTCGAATACTGGAGAAACAGTAAAAATGTTTCAGTCGGGTAGGGCACAGAAGTCTGATTACCTATTTGCCTGTAAATAAATACGATCAGTGAAACGGACACAAGAATGTGTTCGCCTTTTGCCCCACGAGGGGAAACGAGATTTCACTTTACGAGAAAGATTTTTGTCAAATTAAAAATAAAAACAAAGGAAATTGTTGCTGCGTTTTAGTACATATTATAAACGAAGTTCAATTTAATTCTATACAATTTCGTTTTGTATGTTAGATGTTTTTACCATATTATTATTGTTTTTTTTTTTTAATTTCAGCTTGACTTTCATGGTGCCGACTGCATGTGCTATATTCCCTCAGCGATGGTATGTATTTATCTACTTAACTGTTTCAAACGTTAAACTTTAATGACTAACGGGTCTTGCATTTATACTTCAGTGCCTTCTACATTAATAGTTAGGGCTTTAGTGACTTTTACAAAAACACCAAGAAATTACTTTTGTTTTTTTTTAAAGTGATATCAAAGAAAGGGTTTTCTCACTGTTTCAGCAAACTCTCAATTGACACAATCAAGCGATTCGAAAAGGACAGATATGATGAAATCGTCAAAAACACAGATGGTAAACCTCCTCAATATGTGTACTTCAACAAGGGGTTGTAGACAGGTATAGAGTTAGAAGTTCTAATTAAAATGTGTGAGAATCAAATTAGCCTGAGAATATTGCCATAAAAATCATACCTCAATAAAAGGAAGCAACAGTGATAGTGTTATAAAAATTGTCTGCACAAGTATTTAATAATAATGGAATTTCACTTAGATTCCCGGTTTAACAGCAATAATAAAAATAAAATAATTGTCACTGCCATTACAAGGCCATTTTTATTATTTTGCAAAAGTCACCTTCTTTATATTAATTTAATTATATGCTTACAACATACTTTTACATTTTTATTTTAATTGCATAGAGAAAGTTTTTATAAGAGCACAATTTATATGCTAGTACTTTTAAATAAAACATCTTAACGGTTTTAAACGCGATATATTTTAGTTAAACTTGTTTTTAACTAGGGCCCGACATTTTGTTTCGGCTGCTGCAAAGCATCGCGTTTTTAACCGTTAAAGTGTTTTATTTAAATGTGTACTACTCGCGTAAACTACAGACAGTATGCTCGTTACTTATTCCTGGTCGATGAGATTTATACTACTTTATTATTTTTAAAGATTTTTTGATTTAATTTCGTATAGGTTTAAGGATCTTTTACTATACATATATCATTTTGAGCATTTGTATGCATTTGTTTGTGTTATTTTATACTTAGATCTGATACGAAATTTTTTATTTATTTAATAATGAAGCTAATTGTTTGGACTGTATTTGTATTTCTTTTATCGCATATTTAATTGAAATAATATCGTTTTGGAATTTTTCTAGTACTGTACATTCCATGTATCTATAGATAAACTCGTTTGTATAAGTAGCGGCACGGATCTTTAGCGCTGAACGAATCCTGCGCACAAATCAGCACAGGCATCGAATGGACGGAAGCGGGCGCGGAGTGAGTGAACGTCATGTGCGCTACCGTTGATTGGTTTCCCAGTCGTATTGTTGCTCCGCTTGCTTCTCGAATACAGCCACGTTTTCCGATCAATTACGTGCGCGATTGTACCGATGCGCAACTATCCCCTCTACATTTCGTTCAGCGCTAAACATCCGTGCCGCGACCTATATTAGGGAATGTATTTCATTGTTATAATGCATAAGAATAATATCTAAGATAATTATTTTGACGTTGATATTTGACAGTATTTTTTGTTATTTCTTTTTGTTTGTCGCATTACTACATGCAATATGTTAGTTACAAAGTATTTAGGCAAATGTAGTAAGGTTACTACACGTTTGTGAACACATTAGGTTCTTGTTTATTTGGCCTAAATGTTGTTGTTAATATTGAAAAATATTAAATAGCTATTAAGTTATCGTTTTATTAGATTTACAATTAAAAGAGCTCGGTTTTACTGTTTTTGCTTGACATATTATATGCTTTAAGAATGAAGACAATAAATTGTTGTGAAATGATTCTAGGTGGCTTTTATTTTATCTACCCTTTAAAATTATATTTTTTACTCTTACCTAAAAAACTGAACTATATCCTAAATAAGAAATGTTTAAATCCCCAGAAAGATCTTGTAAAACGATTTATAGCTCGGGGGGATTTTTTGATCGGCTTAAAAAGCAAGAGAGATGGTGTCTAACGACACTGCGAGCGACGTGAGAGAATCAAGGAGGCGACGCTATGCGCACCTCCAAGATATTCCCTAATCTTGCTTTCACCTTGTCAGAATCGTTCATTGGTGCTGGGAGCTTTGGAGTCGTACAAACGTGTTCCCAGGGCTCCCTCAAAGCACCGTGGAGGGCTGGTGCGTTTAGTGGCTCTGGTCGGCTAACCGATTTACCACACTCCCCATGTGGCCCGACGTGGGCGTGCATTAGGCATTCACACTATCAGTTAAAAAAGAGGATTTTTGATAGAAAAAAAAAGATTAAAGTTATTTATAATTTTTTTATTCATAAATCTCTAATACAAGTACGAAAATTTGAACTGTAGAGTCGCTTGTACGCTAGATATAAAGTAATATAAATATATGCTTCTTTACATTTATGTTAGTGTATGATACAAGGCACCGGTAATAAATATGTAATTTGAGTATATATCAGTACAATATTAGTTGGCACTTCATTTTATAGCTAGTCCCAGTTGGCAAGGTAAAGATAATAATTGGGTGATCTATCACTGTTTTGTTGTTATGAAAGAGTACAAATAGTGATGATACTATTTTATTTCATCAACCAAAAGTGAAATAAAAAGTCAGGGCAAGGATAAGGCGTATAGAGGGCGCGTCAGACTTATCAAGTTATTTTTTTATCAATCTTACGAAAGAATCAAAACAGTTTTTGCGCCTAAACGCAGAACTCTTTTGATTGATAAAAACCTGTAGGTTATAACTAAAGACACTAGAATGAATGACAATCATTGGTAGTTGCAAAGTGTGTGTTTTAATAAAAGGTGTAATAAAATAAAATTTAACGAATTTTCGTTTTTTTTAATGAAAATACAATTAAAATTGCTATGATAAGTTTGGCGAGGGTTATTTAACATTGTATTTATTATACAATAAAATAAATAGATACATGTATAACAATTTTCTAATTATGTTATGATTTTTATATGTCAGTGCGATTGTTGATTAAGTACGTGTGGGCGTTTTTTTAATGCCATGACGTAAATGGGACTATCTAACTTAATTTTTTAGTGCACTCAGTGCCCGTCTAATGATAATCTTAACTTTTATGACTTTAAACATCCAATTTCCCAGCAAAGTAAAATTGTTTATTACTAAGCTAAGAAATGTAAACTGTTATCGTGCATTAGTATAATAAGCACGGAAACTGTATTTAAGTGAATTCTAAAATACCGCGGCCTTCTCTAGTAATATGGACGCGTCGCACATAACTTTAGCTGTAGACCGGACTAAGAACATCAAATGTAACTGTTCAAATACATTCAGTTGTATTCTCGTTCGCACTAAGCCGTGTAGAACTGTCGCTCTCTCTAAATCCAGCCATCTTTGAAGCGACAGCTCTCTCTCCGTCACAGGAACGCCTTGCACGACATCTAGCGGACCCCAAAGCGTAAATTCTAGCACAGATTTCGCTTGGTTCAGCGAAATGGCCCTTTCTTCTTGCAACATCTGTTTGAGAGCAGGAGTTAGTTTATCTCCAGGGAGAAGGGTCTCCAGTGCTTTAATAGCACATTTGCATAAAGACGAGAGATGTTCGTCTTCTGATTTGCTACTGTTTATATCATCGCTCAATCTGAAAGAAACATAGTCTTTGTCAAGATAACTCAAATATGTTATTTATAAATAGATTACAAGTTTGAAGTGATCGCATAATGTATTCTATTCTTATTTAATTAAACAGTTTAATTGATAATCTTTCTCCGCTTTTGTTCTTCCAAATGCTCTTAATTGGTATGCGATAATGACCAATCCAAGTTTGATTGAAGATACATACCCCTGCAAAATACACAGTCTTCCATAGCAGTTTGTTTTCGGCGCGGACAAGGAGTTCATCGATTCATCTTGCGCAGGAGACGAACTTCCAAGGGAAATTGGAACTTCTTTGAGGACTATAAATGACGTGAGGGTCTCGGGGACTTCTTCTACTCCCCGAGCCTGAAGGCACTTAAGTCCAAGAATAATCTGCAGCATCATAAATATTGCTTCGTGCTTCAGTTCTGATTGGAGATGGTGTTCTTTTGAAACTTCGACGTGGAGGGATTCACCATAGGATTGAATGGTGTCTGCTTGAGCGTGAGCTAGCACGACAATGGTAGCTGAAAACAGTTAATAAAGAAGGTTAGTTGCATAATTTCAACAAATGCACACGAAAACAACAGCAATAGCAGTACGACCGAGATAACGATACTAATTTCCTTACTTAAACAGATCTTATTTTAAAATAGGGGCTTACGCATTATAATATTACTTATGTCAGGTAATTTAAGAAACCTAGTTTTGATCTGGAAACCCTTTTAAGAAAAAAATACCTATAAATCTTATAAGATCTAATCATAAATGATAAAAAGAACAACCTTGCACTAAGTCTTCTCCGTCTTCACCAAACTGTTGTAGTGGTACTAAGTCACAGAATTCCGTAATAGCGTTTAAGCTTAGAGTCTGCGGCTGTACCGACTGGCAGACCATTTGTGACGCCATTTGTTCCTTATGCACCATCAGTGTAACGTTAACGGGCCCCTGGCTAGAGTTCCACACGGCAGGGTAGAAGAACCGCTTTCCGGCTTTTGTGTGTTTTATCTGCTGGATCGTGAAGTCGTTCCAACGTAGATTAGTACAAGCCTTTAGACCGCGAAGCGACGGTTGCATTGTCGCACTTTGTTGGACCTGGAAAATGTCATAATTTTAAAATGGGGTCCTAAGTATAAATCTCCAGACAAAACACTGGTTTGTAGATCGTAACTGACGTGCGATTTTCTAATCAATCACATCGTGTTACGGACGCGGTTTAGTGCAAGAAAATTACATAAATTATAGCAAATTACCTGTTCTAAAACCTGCGCTAGCGCTTCGTGATTCGCGATAACCACGGCTCCGTAATTATCCTCTAAATTCTTGTGCACCACGCTCCTTCCTTTTCGAACGCGCAATTTGTTCGTTGTCGTCTTTGGTGTAATATCAGTTTGGTAATCGTCATTATTTGGACTGTCCATATTGTCGTTGGAGCTGTAGAAACTATACGGTGAATAAATTTCCGACTCCGTTTCGCTGCCGCAGTAGGGTAAGGACGAGCGGAAGTTGTACTTTGGGAACTCGGTGGTCTCTGGTTTCGCTTCAGGTCTATCTTGAGTTTTAATTGCAGAGTCACATTCTGGTGAACTGGAACGCGCGTGGTGGACGTATTCATAATCACTGTCACTATTTTTAGCGGAGTCACAGTTTTCCTCGTCATATTTAGTGGCGTATACATCGTCATAGTTGTTAATTACCGGCTCGTTAGTAGCTTGAACTAATTCTTGAGGTCCGTCATCTATTTCATCTTTGTCGTCATCGTCGATAGCGGTCCTGCGCTTGAGGAGTTCTAATTGTGACTCTCTCTCACGCATACTGGCTGTTCGCTCCGGTTTTCGTGGCGCTAAAGCTGATCGGATTTCTCCTGAAAGAGTAAAAAAATATTTATGAGCCGATTTCAGAGATCAATAAATCCTTTTTAACTGAGATTGAGGTTGTTTTTAATTAAAAGTAGATGATTTACTCTATAAACTTTATGATGTAAACTATTTATATGAAAAAAAAATTGATATAACCTGATAAATCAATATATCAATATATTTATTTAAGATGAAAAAATTTTGGTTTTCTTGGGTGTACACTATCAAACTTACCAACCCTATATTATACAAGGTGTAATGATTTTCTAGTTAAAAAATGGCTGAACAGATTATATAAGTATGTACTTGAGCGTGTTGTGTGTGTAATAAGGCATGCAATGTGTATTAATTACTTAAAAATATATGTTTTAATTCGTTTCCTGCTAAGTAAACGTTTGAAGGTCGGTAAGTTAATTGTAAATGTAGCTGTAATTTAGATCGCGTTTAATCTAAGCTAGATCTTTGTATTTAAAATCGTGACTTACCTAAATTAGCATAAATATTATCGCCCTTACTGGGTGCGGCTGCCCAAGCTTGTTGCTTTTGCTTTTTCTGGAGAGCAATAGATTTCGGGGGCGGAGGCCTAGCAGGCTTTGGAACACCAGAAGTGTTTTTGTAGTCTTCGCTCGATAGCCTTGGAGGTGGCGGCGGCTTGTTGACGACCTTGGGCATGTCATCCGTCGCGGAACTGCACCCACTATATATTGAAACATCGTCATGACTCAGACGACGTAGGTTCTCCGATATCTCGCAATTAGATTTCACCACTTCGACGCTCGATCCGTTGATGTCCAAAGGATGAATGATCACTAATCTTGGCTTCGGCTTTGGTGTCAAGTCATATATTTCTTCAGTCTTACTAATTACCTTAGTAACCGTCGCTACACTCAATTCCTTCTTATCTAAATCCTTAGATGACCCAATGCGCAGTAGTTTTTTAATAGAAAACTTAAGTTTTCCTTTCCGTTTTTCATCGAGAAGTAAGTTATCGTGCGAAAGAGATATATTTCGCCTAGGGGCCGGTTCTGGAATGTCAGACTTCGTCATCTCTGAATCGTTGGAATGTTTTTGTTTTGTCGGTAATGACATAACGGCTCTTTCTCGTTTTTCCATCTCGCGTACGACTGGCGAGTCAGATTTCATAAATCCGTTTGGGTTTCTTTGGTAAATATTGTTAGAAAACTCCTCAGACGGTGACAAGGGTGGGGTCGGCGCTTTCCGTTTGCACAAACTGTTAAGTGAAGTGTCACTATCTTGCTTGGTCAAGACTGGTTTTGCATAATATATTGTATCTGATCGTTCATCACATAATTCGTTGTTCTTTTCCTCATTAGCATGCCGTGTGACTTTCTCTTCATCTTTTATTGTCGTTTGCGTAATACTCTGCATTACGGTATTTGTTTTCTTACTTGTTTGTTTAATAACCGGTTTTGCGGGAAGCTTAGGCTTTTCAGGTACGACCGGTTTCGGTGGCATTATGTCAGTTATCATACCATGAAGAAAAGAGGGACGTGGATCCATCGTTGGGACTGGGCTTTTAGGTAATGCTGGAACTTCACTTGTTTCATCGGGATCAGCCCGCCCATCAGGTTCACCTGCAAGTTCTCGACTTGCTTCCGCAGAGAAAATAGCTTCTTGTTTTTGTATAATCGGCGGCATATCTATAATTGGATTCTGGAATGTCGTATATCCACTATGAGCCTGCCCGTCTACCTTTCTCAACTGTCCGATTGGCGACATTTTAATATTCTTATCGCTTTCATTAAACACTTTTATCTTAACAGTTTCTTCACATTTGTGACTTTCTGAAAAGTGTCCACTGTCATCATTATCTGAATCTGTTCTTGCACAAAAGCTCTCGTCATCAGATGTGAAAGAATTATTAGGAGTCGAATTTAATGTACTTACAGCTGAATCAACACTACTACTTTCAATATTAATTTTACAAAATTTGAATTCCGATCGACTCACGTTAACTTTTGGCCTCTCTTGCGTTTTAGGTAAGGGAGACTTTCTAACAATGCTATTCTTTTTAGTTTCATTTATTTCCTTCCGGTCACACTCGTCCTGCATGCTCTCTTTTATTTTTTCTTCAACAACAGCAGGCTTGCTACTATCTATTTGTGAAAAATTCACCTCTGGTCCGCCTAATCTGTTTTGCTGTAAAGTTTCAGAAATCTCCTCAAGCAGTGACTTTTCTGTACATAAAATGCTGTCAGTCGGCTTGACACCTTCTGCAGCTACAATAGTTTCGGATTCCTTAATGTAAGTTGAAAGAATTATATTTGTTTTGTAGTTATTAGAAGGTTCTTCGGTGGGTGGATCAGCAATATTAATAACGGCCGGTTTGCGTACATGAGTCTTTATGGAAGGGTTTTTGTTGTCTTGCCCGAAGGGGGTGACTGATACCATAAGAGTCTTCTTCTTTCCATCTGAATCTGTTTGTACTTTACCTAGCATAAGTGAAGTATACGATTTTGCAACTGAATCTCCTAGAAGATTGGCTTTCACAGTGTTAAAGTCTGTGTTAGATTTTGTAATTTTATGAAGTTCTCTCTCTTCTTCCGTATCTGGGAATGTATCATCGTCGTCGTTGTCCTCGGAGATTTCGAATTCTTCTCCGTCGGACCAGTCGTCGCCTCCATATCCTATGACACTACATACCTCTTCTGGAAAGCGAACATTACGTTTGCTCCTCTTCTTAGAATGTATCTTGAGTATGCTCGGTGGAGTTTTCTTAAAGAATGTGCCTCTGTTTTGGAATGGAGTTGCTAAATATTTGCCGCCATCTGTCTGTGTTTTATCTTGTTTGGCGTGTTCTTCGCGTGATTTGAAGCAGTTGGAGCAAAAATCCTTCTTCCACGCATTTTGTACGAAGTTGTGGCAGACTGGTGACATCTTGCTCCTTGAGTAACGTCTGTTGATCACATAATTCGCATTCTGAAAAGAAATAAATTACGATTAGAACCGACTTTCACTAGAGCAAAACAATTTGTATGCAATGGACATGCGAGAAATCTATCCAGTCCGAATACTAATGATTGAATACAATTTGTTAACTTACTTCTTAAAATAACTTTAAGAGATTTAGTAATAGAGTTACTTGCCATAAGTAGTGGTAAGTTGAGTACGTATAGAAGGTAGATATAGTTAAAAACAGCTTAAAAAACTAATCAACACACATCAAGTGTTGTGTGTGTGTCACAGCCTTTATTTGTTTTTATTACTGGTTTATAGCGTACTTACGTTCACATTAATCTCTAGGCTCATATAACACAAAGAATAAATAAGCACATTAACTCTAAAGAGGTCCTATAGCAATTAAACTTTATAATTATTATATGAAAGCAAGCTTGTTCCGCTTTCACGGCTTAGTAACCGGAGCGATTTAATGAAAGCCTGAAATACAGGTACATGGAGAAGGTACACAAAATAATTGTGAAGTTAGGACAAAATAGGAAAAAAGTTTGAAGTTATAAATAGCGATAACGAGATTTTTCTCAAACATGCTTGGACATTTGAACATTATTTTGATAAGCTTCTTCGAGATAAATAGAAGTTGCTGTACTGGTCGAGCAGCAGCCAGCATTGGTTGTATGAAAATCCATATCTGTTGTGTTTAGTGGTCAAATAAGTTATTATGTAAAATTATATTTGCCGTATTATTTAAAACTGGAACGATCTTCTAATCTGCAACACGGCGACCAAAGAGGTAACTTAACAAAGGTTTTATGGAAGTCTTCGAACTGGCTTACACATAAAAGGCTGTCTAGTGAAAAAAACTTAGTAAATGGCATAGTCATTATTAGTTCGACAATTTCGTAATTGGTAAACTTTTGCATAATAATACTCAGTTTTAATTTCCGCGCATTATTTGAGAAACGTACCATACAACCCCAGCCCGCAAGGCATTGATGGACTTACGTCTGTGTTCACACGTTTCTCCCTCAATGACTCTCTTGCGGGCCGCTGCAGTAATGTTAATAAAGTGTTATTTTTAAGTATACAAAGCATAATAATAAATCTAATTACAAGCTAATACTTTATGATTCTGATAAGATAAGACGAATGTAACTTGCATTAAACTAGGTAGACGTATTGCGTCGGCGCTTACGATTGATAGCCAATTAAGAAGACACAATATGAGGATATTGCAAGGCCATCTCGTTACCCGATATGGGACTATTGTTTCTATATCACCTTTGTTTATTGAGGTGAAAGAGCGGATTTATTTAAATTAGTTTGCATTCGTTAGAATTGTTAGTTGGGACCAATTTCATTTAGTGCATTTATTAAACAAAGAACTGGTTTATTGGTCAAGAACTGAAAGTGATAGATTTAGATCTTTGAGAAAGCTCAATTTTCAAGATGAGGCCAACGAGAATGCTACTACCTCGATCTCAAAGCGATACTAATATTATACAGCTAAAGAGTTTGATTTCTTTGAAAGTCCTAATCTCAGGAACTCCTGTTTGAGTCAAAGAAATATTTTGGTTAGAGCATTTACCGAGGTAGACATACTATAGAACAATAAATATGAAAAAAAAGAGGGGAAATTATTCGTCTTTGAGTATTGTTGTTGAGTACGCCGTGAAATATTTCAAGATACCCAAAAATATGTTAAAAGGATTTTTTAAATAATCTTAAACTTGTATCTATCCTTTAAGATTAGTTTAGTTAATCTGTTGATAAGAACAGTTTTCATAGTTTGTTATTAACTTTTGGTCGAAATACTTGACATGACAAAAGAACGTTTGCCAGGTAAGTTAGGTTTTTATAAAAGTTTGTGTGGATGTCCTAAAATGTAAAGTAGGGAGGTACCTTTAAATAACTATGTTATGTGTAACACTGCGAAGCTCCTCGTTGTGGTCAACTACTAATAATAACCATAGAATGGTATTCAGGTCGAACAGACCGGTACACGGTGAAATTGAAGCGACACACGAATCAAACGAGTCTTCCTACATGTGGCGTGACGGGCAACAATGCATATATGACCCGACACATACTAAGTAGGTGATAGACGTACTTTATCGCTAAATGTACTCTAACTGTACTGTAAGTTTTTAGGACATGTCTCTAAGAAAATCTAGTTACGTTATGAAATTATCTAAACAAGGTCTAGTCGATAATTAAGCGTGAATGGGTCTCAAAAAAGTTTAAATGATGGAAAAATGAGATAGAAGAACTTTTAACATGAGACAGTTTTTGGTCGACCCTTTTTATCCTACTTTTTAGTGAGATCTCTTCTCAATAATTAAAATTGAAGTAGATATTTATACTAATATTATAAAACTAAAGACTTTATATATTTGTTTGAAAGCGCGAATCTCAGGAACTACTTAAGGCTTCAGGTTAAATAAGATCACGCTGTGACCATTAGGAGCGAAAAAACAGTGGAAGTGTGTGAAATAAACTAAAAAATATGTATGAAAGAATGATTTCCCTTCAAATTATATCAAAAAATGTCTGCTGAAGTATATGTATATGTTTTAAGATAACTCGCAACAGCCGTTTTTATGGTAATCCATTATGAATATTTATCTTCCAAACTAGAAAACAACGTGCCTAATCAGCCAGTTTGTATATAAATACTGATTTAACAGTACCATGTTAGGTAACATTATTTATAACACAGTAAAATTTACTTTGTTTTCGTCGTGTTCCAAATTCAATTGAGCCCTATAACACATGGGGGCACTATCAATACATTTTATGTGGGACACACATGTATTGAGTAAATACTTTTGTTAAAATGTGTAAGTTGGTCAAGTACGTAGATTTTAATACCTTTTGTTAATATAATTAATATTCTTTACATAATATGGCAGACTATTTTACCTAAGTTATTTATATTTTTATATTTAACAAACTAACATACTGACCTGGAAATTTCATCGCCCACAGAATAAAGAAAATTATCCGGAGAATAGCGTACGTAGATTATTTGTAATAAATATAGACTTATAGACATAAAATATGTGGTTTGAAAAACATTAAAAATCCTTATGCGCCTGCGTCGTCCATGACCCGTGACATATGCACGGTGATATCATACTCTTGACCATTCGCTCGCTTTATGCTAATAAGTTTTTTTTAAAGACACTTAAATATTTAAAACCTAAAAACCCAATATATACATACTTATTAAAAAAAATATAAAAATAATAAAGTGGTGAGCCGAACCGAATTTCAAGTTGAAGGACGCATTGTTGTTATTATAACATCGTATTAATATAAAAATTGCCTTTACATGACGAGTCAGGTTTTTAAACCAATAGTACGTTATAACCAACGGTGAAGAGCCTGTAACGGTATTTAAGGCGTTAAAATTATTGCGCGCTAATTTTTGTTAACACGTTGACCTATAAATTACAAACTGTTTATACTGGGATCGTAATAAGTTTGTAAACACACACCTGAGCCGACTTAGGAGTGAGTCATGAAAAGAAATTAAAGAAGGAAGTACTTTAAGCTATTGTTAACGAATGCCCTATTATTGCCAATACAAATACAATAGTTTTAGTTTGATTCCTTTTAATTATACGTTATCTCCTTCTGTATGTTATCAAGTGCGGATTCAGCTTTGGCGCCTGGGAGGGGGGTTAAATAGTCGTGGTCAAGTCACGACCTTAGCACCGCCAGTGCATGTAATTCTTGTATATAAAACGATCTATAATGCGAAATATATTCAGTTTTTATTCTAACAACAAACTCACTTTTCGGATGCTCTATAACGGGAGAAATTCACTGTTATCACGTTTAAAACAGTTATAACTGTTTTATATAATTCTGGTTCTACGATATTTATAACACAATAATGGTGCTTTCTACTTGCGTAACATAATAAATACTTTTAAAAGATGCTTACAAAACGAAAATGTTTTTGGTAGATAACAAAGTGCAAATTGACAGGTGAAAGCTACCGTTCATAGAAGATTTGGCTTCTTTTATATTTTAATACGTAATTACAGTAACAATTACCTCAAAAGAGTTCAAATTACGACATTTCATTAAATCGCTGTGAGAACTTCGAAAGAAATGTTCTTTCCCACGAAATATTATTGTTGAAGAGTTTTATTAAAGTTTGTGTGGAATTTTAATGTTTCGAGTGCTTAGGTAACTTTTTGTAGCATAGACATTTTGGGCAATGACAGTTGTTTCCAAATACTTAAAATCGTTAAAAAAGTTGAGCTTTCGAATGACCTTGGTGAAATTATGAAAATGTCTACTTATACTTAATAATTTTGTTATTTGAAAATTTTAATAATATTCACATGTTATATAAATAAAAAATTAGGACTCGGTAGCTCAATTGGTTAGAGCTACAGCACGGAACGCTGTTGATGCCGGTTCGAGTCTTGCCCGTGTCGTAAAATTCTTTCAATCTAAAGTATAACTTCGATATTTTATACGTAAGTATAGTCTTTAAATATAATAAGTGTTAAGTTTAAAAAAGAAGATGGAAAGCGCTAGGCAATCTTAAGAAATTTATAGATTCAACACTGCGACTGGTATAACTCGAGTTTCCACTAAACTTTCACAAAAACATGTCATTTTGCTTTAGATCCCTTAGGACTAAATATAGCATGTATTATCATGATCAACCTTTAGCTATATACTAAGGTATAGGTTGTTGAACACATATACTTAATGGCTCAATGGTAAAACGCAATGTCCAGCGTTGTGGCAAGTGCAAGGGTACACAATAAATAGTATCACTCACGCAGACCAGAAAAGTCTATCCTACTAACTGTAACTGTAAATAAAATTTGGAAAACACTACAGTGCGTTTGCCCCACAAAGAAACCGCAATTTCACTTTCATTTCTCATTTTATCCATGTCATCAAAAAAAATTTTGGTTATCCCTCATAGCGTCTACAAAAAACAGCACGAA